AAAATGGATTTTCCAACAGAACCACTGGCACGTGAGGAACAGCACCATCCATGGATAAGGTAAAAACCTTTTTCTAAACATCCATTTTGGGTTCCCACCCTTTCCCCAGGGTGCTCACCAGACACAGCGCTGCCCGCTGGGGTCCATCCCGGTGGAGGGCTCGTCCAGGAGCAGCACGGAGGGGTTGCCCAGCATGGACAGTGCCACACAGAGCTGTGACATGGAAAAAGGGCTCAGACAGAGCTGCTGCATGCCCTGGCACTGTCCCCATACAGCTCCTGATTCATGGGAGCCAGAGTTCTGATTTATGGGAAATTTGGGGTTGGGAAAGGCTYGTGTCCATCATCCACCCAACACGATGCTCTCCCAGAGCACAGGTTGGTCCCTCCACTCAGGAAGGAGGGTTTTAATTAGTGCTTGAGCATTGCAGGGCTCATTATAGACAACCCAAAACACACCTTTCTGGTTATCCCAGCAGGTAATTTTCTGACTTTTTTGTTTAAGTAGTCTTGGAGCTGCAGGGCATTCACAATCCTGCGGGGAGAGGGAACGAGTGAAAAAAGAGCATTCTTATTACTCCAAATCAATATTCTCATCAAGAGTTGCCAAAATGACAAGAAAAAGGAACATTCCCTCCCCTTGCTCTTGACTCTTGCTTGTTTTCATTAAACATTTATTGTGTTATTCAAATGTAAGTGACTGTTTGAAGCAAAATGTACTGAAGAAGCCACAAGCTCTTTTCTAAACCCATCATCAGTGTCAGCAGCATTATGAATCCACTCTCCCTTGCCAATGTCAGCTGAGMACCCTTCCTTGTGCTGCCAAGCTCCAACAGCAGAGATTTTTAGAAAAGCTGCCTAAAGATAACGCACTTWAAAGGGCATTAATGGTGAATTTATCCCCACCGAAAGCACTCAGGAAAATTGGAGGTTTTCTTAACCCGCCCACTAAAGCGCTTTTGTGGCTGAGTTTTTTGCGTTCCTTTCGAGGTTTTCTTTGTGAATTTTGACTTTCTGGTGCCCTCCCTGTATGGGGAGCTGAGGGGTGAAGCAGTGACTCTCCCCATGCCATATCTGTACCTGTCCACAGCACTGGCTGTGTCCTCCTTTCTCAGTCCCTTCACGGCCCCGTAGATGCTCAGGTGCTGCTGCGGGGTGAGCTCCAGCCACAGCGGGTTCTCCTGGGGGCAGTAGCCCAAAAATGCAGGATTCTGCTCCTGGGAGCCTCCTCCATCTCCAGTTTTCATCAGCACCTGCACGACCAGGCTGAGATTTGTCCTCTGACAGAGCCTCGCCCAGTGTAGGGCTGGTTCAGGGGAGGGTTGTGGGGTGCAGCGGGGTTTGGGTGAGGAAAGCCAGAGTGAGGGAGGGATTTCACACCGTTATTAAACAGAAACGTGACCAATTAGGGCAGAAACAGTGCCTTATCAAAATTAGAAGCAGCTCACAATGATTTTATCCCTACATTATTGAATTTAATAGCAGGACAAATCCGGAAACCTTGACCGGTTATAATTCTGTGACAAAAATCACAGCCTGGATAAAAACAGCAGCTCAGCCCAGGTGCARGGTTTGCAATTTTGTCATGGATCCATCCCCTTTTCCCAGAGGTCTCCTACCTGCCCAGCAGTCAGGGATGTCTCTCCAGTAATCATTTTGATTGCTGTGCTCTTCCCAGCCCCGTTGGGTCCCAGAAGTCCTAATACTTCTCCTGGAATCAACACATAAATAAAATTTCTTAGGRCTACTCCCCATTCAAGAAATACAGCAGGCACAATCCCACAAAAATATATATAAAAGACAGCACTTTAATGTCAAAGATTGTAAAATGAACAGTTTTATTGTATAAAATACATGCTCAGAGAGCCCATAACCTTTGAACTCAAACTGATGCTATGAATTTCTCCAGGAGCTGCTGCCAAAGTGGTCCTCTCTCCTCAGGATCTTTTAGATTTAGATTATTTTAGATAATCAACTGCCACAGGTAATTAATAAAATGCAAGCTGCTCATTAACACATCAACCCCAGACTGAACAWACAGATTTGGCCTTTCTTGCTCAGAGAACTGAGAATCTGCAGGGAATAAACAAACAGGGCTGGGGAACAGCCCCACTTCTCACCTTTTTTAACACAGAAGGAAAGGTTTTTGGTGGCTGATTTCTTCTTCTTCTTCTTCTTAAAAAATGAGCCAGTTTGCTTTATTTTRTATTCCTTGCACAGATTGCTGACTATTATGACTGATTTCTGAAAAAGAGGAGGGAGAAGCGAGATTAATTTATTATCTTGGACAGCATTGATCTTTCAGTTACATTTTTCTATTAAAAAGGCAGAAAACCTTGTAAAGATCTTTGTTTTTAGTTCACCAGGAGCATGAGCTRCAACAGGACACTTTATTGTCCGGGTTCCTCTTAAGAGCTTTCTTCTGATGAAATCCACAATGTTGGGATTTTGGTTTTCCCAAAAAAAAMCAAAAAACCCAGTGAGAACAAAACAGCCAAAGCATTGGCCTGGGCTGATTGATAGTGGGTGGTTTTTGTTCTACCAGGAATAAAATAAAATAAAGGAAAGTAAAGTAAAATAAAATAAAATAGACAACACTTARAGGTACCTCCTCCTGACTCGGAGCCACCATAGCATTTCTCACTGCTTCCCTTTCAGCTTTAACATCTTCATCTTCCTCCTCGGGCTCCTTGGGATGCTGCTGGCTGCTTTCTTTCTTTGGGGAAATCCTGAAAACCCACCAGACTTGTCTTAGGGTTTTATTTATTTCCCTTGTTCTCCACCAGTGCATTTTGGAGTGAATTTCCCTCTGATTGAATTGATATTATATTATAATTACTACTATCTTCATCATCATTATTATTATTATTGGGGTTGGTTACTATTATTATAGTAATTACTATTATTATAATATTATTTTTAATATTTTATTTTCATTATTTTATTTGTCTTTATTGATTATATTTTTTATTATATTTATTATGATTTATAATATTTATATGTATAATCTTTCTGTTTGATACCAAAAAGAAAATGCTGCATCCCAGAGCACAGGCAGCAACCTGTGGAGGCACTGACAATCTCAAGAGCTGTTTTATATTATCACAGAACTGTAGGGACCATTTTTGTCATTAAAAACCCACAAGTATTAAAAAAATATATATATTTTAGAATAGGGACACAAAGGTAATGATGTCTTCAAGGCGAAGCAGTGGGGTGKGAGTTTAGAATTCACATTTGTGTGTTTGTACAAACCTAAATACYGGGTCCTTTCTCAGCACTGATTTCCCATATTTTAGTTCCAAACAGCGAAGMAGGAGAATGAAAGCCACAGAGTGGATGTAAGGCTGGAAAACAGAGGTTGCCACRTTAACAGCTTTGCCTTCCCTCCCACCACAGCTGGCACTGCTGTAAAATACGTGTGAGCAACTGAAATGTGAAAATGAAATCCATTAAYGTTGAAATTCAGGGTAATCAACCCTGCAGAAAACACTCAGGGCAGGGAAAAAGACCAATTCAGAAAACAACAGGGCAGCATTAGTGATCTGGGCTAATTCCATTTTGCTTTCCCCGTTCCAAAGGTGTGAAATTATTTCAGCAGAGAGGGTAAAACATCATCCAGGCCCACTCAGATCCTCCTCCTGCTTCCTCATAAACAAGGAGGGGCTTTAGGAGAACATTCTTAAATAAAAGCAGTGTTAAATGTTTTCTTACTGCAAAGACAGCCATCAGTACTTCATCACCTGGAGCCACATTAAACATCTTYGTGTCCTCCATGAAAATCTGTCAGAATTGAAAAAAAAAATACACAATGAACACCAGCAATGATGGACTCTGGAAAATCCCAGCCAGGATGAGCCTTCCCAGCCTGGAGCCGCCACCAGATTTTGATGCAGCTCCCACCAGATTTTGGTGCAGCTCCCACCAGATTTTGGTGCAGCTCCCACCAGATTTTGGTGCAGCTCCCCCAGACTTTCCTCCCAAGGAGCCAGAGCTGTGTTTTAGGTCTCTCCTTGCCCAGAACACCGCTCACCTGCTGGGTGTGGATCACAAACCCCATCAGGGGRTACACGGGGACCAAGAGGGACAGGGCGTAGATGGAGGTGTTGTGGTGGATGAAAACATCCATGACTCTGCCGATGAAAACAGAAATAAGGCACCCCTGGAAATAAAACAAGAGGCTGGCTCAGCTGGTGGGAAGGGTTACTCACTGCTCTTAAACATTGTGTGGGTCTAGATTTGTAATTCCCTGCTGAATTCGTAAAAATGGACAGAAAATTAGAAAGGTGAGAGGGAGTGAGCGCTCAGGAGATCCTCAGCCATCTCTGCCTGATGGTTTGGGCCAGCTGGGGAAGTTTTTAATTCTGGTGATTTCTTCCCAATCAAGCATGGGATTCCATCCTGTTCCTTCCCATCCTGATCCAAATAATCCATCTCCTTCCAGGCCAGGCTTGGATGATCAAACTGATGGCTTCTGTCCCAACAYTTTACATCTCTTGGATATGAGGTGTCAAGCAGAGTGATAAATAATAATTTTTGCCTTCCTTCCTGTCTGGATCTGGGTATTTCCCCACGTCATGGCAGGATTGTGAGGACAGAACACAAATTTAATACAGAATTKGCTGCAATAAAACACACCCAGGTTTATGTTTCTCATCTCTTCTTGGTGTTTGGACATCTAGCACATCCTGAAGATCTCAAAACACAAGTTTGTAAACCCAGCAGTGCTCACCATGATCAGGAGGAAAGACCAGAGATCACAGCTCCATCCTTTGCGGGAGTTGAAGGAGATCAGGTAAATGAGGAGAACGAGAGAAATTCCATAACCCAATGTCCCCACGATCTACAGGATAAAAAAAAGGCTTTTGTTGGAGAAGATGGAGTGATGTAAACCCCCAGAAACTCATTATATTGATGGGAATCTGTGGAAATAATCCCAGAATGAGATCAGGATGTTTGGAAATTACCAGATTTCACAGTGAGGTGTAAAGGAATAGACTGAGGCAAGATTTATTCCCTTTATCCCCAAATGCTGGGACGTGAAACCCCCCAGTAAGGGCACCCAGAGGGTTCCAGCACCATCTGCACCCACGGTGTCACAGATATTCCCACAAAACATTTCCCCCCATCCCTCCCAAACCAACCAGCAGGCACCAGAAAGGGCCGTACCAACAAGAAGAAGGTGCTGGCACTCCCAGAAATCTTGCTGCTCATGGCAAACTCGAGGCCAAACATGGAGAAGAGCAGGATCCAGCAGAATGGGATGTCCACCAGTGCCTGGCCACACCAGTATGCCGAGGGGAAGAGCCCCGAGATGCGCAGCTGGGCACGAGCTCCTGCCTGGGAAGGCAAAAATTTATGGGATTATGGGATAATTTAATTTATGGGATTTATGGGATAGTTTAATTTGGCCAGCTGCACCCCTGGGAACGGCCCAGGAAATGAAAAGGGAATAAAATCTGTCACCATTGTGATTACGGGGTAAAATTCGACCTCTTTTTGTATTTTAATATTTTGTGCTGGCTGCAAAGCTGCTTGTGAATCAAAAACACCTCAAGCTGCCAGTCGTAGGGTTGGACTCAAATAGCTCAGAGGTGTTTTCCAGCCTGAATGATTCCACAATTCTATATCCAAATATCCTTCAGTGCTGATCCCTCCTGCCCTCCCCAAACGTGCTGCATTTCCAGGAATTTACCTTGTAATCCTGCGTGTAGCCCATGGCAAAGTGAGGAGGAAAACCAGGGAATAACAGCAGCATGTAAATGTGGTAGAAGTACATGAAATAATCCCAATATTTTGGGTTGAACAGCTGAAAAAAGAACAAAGCATTTGTGGAAAATTCAGTTCATCTTAGCGTTCACCTTACTGCGTTTCTAATGGATTACAGGGCAGTTTGAAGAAAAAAAAATGGGATTTGAAATCAAATTCTGGCTGAAGGAAGGTTTTTCCAAAGCAGAGCCCTGCAAAGTGCTCGGTGGTGAGCAGAGATGGGTGGTGCTGGTCCCACCCTCTACCCCAGCCTTGTGGGGAGCTCTCTCTTCTGTCACCCAACGAGTCAGAGTTGGAATAATGTGTTGGAGAGAACAAAGAACCTCCTGGAGAAACCCTCCAGCCACCCTCTCCACCCAACAGCCCTCGAGATCCACA